ATTTCACCCGCACATACTTCGGAAAGGACGTCGACCTGAATGCACTGGTGAGAAGGATGTGGGAGGTGGAGGAACTTCCCCAGTCGTACAAATTCTGTGCAGATGATCAAGCCGTTTTTGATCAGACGGTCCAGTCGATGACCTACAAGAACGGAAGATACCAGGTTTCGGAGCCGTGGATCAAGAGACCACCTCCGGACAACTACAGTCGAGAAACTGCAATGAAGCGGCTCATCGCAGCAGAGAGACGCCTGGAGAAGGAGCCAGACGTCGCTGAGGAATACCGAACCGTGATTCGCCGTCACTTAGAACAAGGGTATATCAGCAAGATCAGCAACGCAAGTGATGGCGACGGCTGGTATCTGCCGCACTTTGCTGTTGTACGACCTGGGGCTACATCCACAAAGGTGCGTGTGGTCTTTGATGCAGCAGCAAAGACGAAAGGCAAGTGTCTGAATGACTACATCAGCACTGGGCCCAAACTACAACGGGACCTCACCGACGTTCTCCTGAGGTTTCGGCGACACCCAAATGCACTGGTAGCCGACGTGGCAGAGATGTATCTACAAATCGAGTTGGAAGAGGATGACCGACAGTTCCATCGATTTCTTTGGCGAGAAGATACGGAGGACCAACCGGCCGTTTACCAGTACAATAGAGTGGTGTTCGGGATCAATGCATCTCCATTCTTAGCTCAACTGGTCTCGCAAGAGCATGCGCGGCGGAACCAGGAGGAGTTTCCTATGGCAGCAGAAACCGTGTTGAAGTCCACGTACATGGACGATTCAATGGACTCGACAAAGTCAACAGAGCTAGCGATTCAGCTGTACCACGAGCTTACGGCGCTGTGGGGTCTCGCTGGAATGCATGTGCGAAAATGGATTTCCAACAATGTTGAGGTGCTCGCCGAAGTCCCCGAGGAGGACCGAGCCAAGGAAGTGGACCTCGCTAGTGGAATCCTGCCGACGACCAAGACTCTCGGAGTTAAGTGGCGAGCAGAGGAAGACGAGTTCCTGATTCATGTCAAGCCGCCATTAGACATTGTCACCAAGAGAGCGTTCTTGAAGAACCTAGCCACATTGTTTGATCCGATCGGATTCGTACTGCCATTCACCATAGTTGGTCGGATGTTGTTCCAGAAGATGTGGCTAGCAGGTGCTGACTGGGACGACTCTCTGCCGCCAGAGCTAGGCGCAGAGGCGCAAAAGTGGTGTGCCGACATGGATGCACTCCAGGATGTCCGAGTTCACCGGTGTCTTCAACGCGATGAAGAGGTGGTGGAGACTAAGCGACATGTATTCTGCGATGCCTCGCAAGATGCATATGGAGCAGTCGCTTATCTCTGTCATGTGTACCAGGATGGTACGAGGTCCAGTCGATTCGTCATGGCTCGAGCCAAAGTGGCACCGTTATCAGCTGTTAGCATCCCCCGACTCGAGCTAATGGGAGCAGTCATCGGATGTCGTCTTGGTGTGTCCGTAGCCAAGACACTCGCCATCGCAATGGAGAATGTCGTGTTCTGGAGTGACAGCATGGATGTCCTGTGGTGGATAAGGAACAGCAGCCGGGTCTTCAAGCCATTCGTGGCCAACCGCGTCGGTGGGATCCAGGCTTCTTCCTCGCCTAGTCAGTGGTTCTACGTTCCGACGGCGGTGAATCCAGCTGACATCCTGTCACGAGGAACATCAAGCGCTACTATCGCGATGAATGTGCTGTGGTGGAACGGTCCGTCATATCTCGTTCAGAGCATCGAAGAACGGCCACAGCAGCCCGAGAGATTCAACGTTCCAGCTGCACCAGAGGTCCGCACGAAAGCCAAACCACCCGAAGAAGGTCAGCAACACCACCAAGTGACATGTGTGTCTTTCCTCTCGATGAGCGAGTGGGTTCTGGCGCCTGAACGATTCTCTTCGCTTCAGCGGCTGGTCCGCTTGACGGCGTGGGTGCTGCGCTTTTCTTCAAACTGCCGAATCCCAGCCACGCAGAGACAGTATGGTCAGCTGACGGTCGAGGAGGTCGAGAACAGCCTCCAGGCCATTATTCGGTCAAGCCAGAAGGACGCCTTTGCTGAATATTCGTCACTGCAGAAGGGCAAACCATTACCGGCAACCAGTCCACTGAGCAGCCTGACCCCGTTCTTGGATGAAGTTGGTGTGATGAGAATGACAGGACGGCTCCAAGAGGCACAGTATCTCAGTCAAGACGCCAAGCACCCGATCATCTTGCCGCGGTCTTGCTGGATAACACAGCTAGTGATCAGAGACCAGCATGAGGCAGACCATCACGTCGCAGGTACAGCTCACACTATGGCAGTCCTCATGAGGAAATATTGGATCGTGGCGATTCGAGAAGCCATCCGGGAGTACGAACGTTCCTGTGTGAAATGTCAATTTCGTAAAGCACAACCAGCCACGCAGATCATGGCACCATTGCCCAAGATCCGGTTGAAGGAGCCTCTCCACGCTTTCAGTCGCGTGGCCGTAGACTTTGCTGGACCATTCGCAACAGTACAGGGTCTAGGGCAACGACGAGCTAAGCGGTACTTGTGCGTCTTCACCTGCTGTCTTTGTCGTGCTGTGCATCTGGAAATGGCCACAGGTTTGGATACCGACAGCTTTCTGAACGCCTTTCAACGAATGTGCAACCGCCGTGGTGTTCCTGCTGAAGTGCTCTCGGACAATGGAACGAACTTCGTCGGGGCTAATCGTGAGCTATCGGAGATTTTCACCGAGCAGGAGCAACACGTCCTGGAGCACAGCGCTACCATGAAGAGGATCAAGTGGCATTTCATCCCTGCCCAGACACCACACTTTGGAGGCGTTCACGAAAGTATGGTAAAAGCAGCAAAGAAGGCTATTTACCATGTTCTACAGCAGGCATCAATCACCGATGAGGAGCTGCGAACAGCATGCTGCAGCGCAGAGGCGCTACTCAACTCTCGTCCAATTGTTCCTCCCTCTAGTGACAGCCGCGACGACTTGCCACTCACACCGAATCACTTCCTGGTTGGACGCATTGAGCACTATCATCCTGCCGTCGAGTCACCGTGTCTTCGGCGCCGCTGGCAACACGTCCAAATGCTTGTATCCCATGTCTGGCGAAGGTGGATGCAGGAGTGGATACCAGCCCTGAATCGTCGCTCCAAGTGGTGGAAAGAGTACCCGGATCTCAGTGTCGGTGACATCGTCCTCGTTGTGTCAGCTGATACCCCCCGTGGCAGGTGGCCTCTTGGACGGGTGTTGGAGGTCTACCCTGGTTCTGACGGCAGAGTGCGTGTCGCTAAGCTCCAGGTCGGAGGCAAGCAGGTAACCAGGTCAGTTGTACGGCTATGTCCGGTTGTGAAAGGCTGACAGTCCGTACGCACGTTTTAGATGGACTTATCGCAATTTTTAGTCAGTTCGATCTCTTTTCTTATTTTACTCATTCTTTGATAAGGATGTATCAAGGGGGTATGTTGGGAAGGCCGTCGTGGCCATGTGTTTTTTTATGATGTATTTACTATTTTAATAATGCAATGAATATAACTAAATGCGCACTCATATCACAACCATGGGGACGAATCATGTATTCCAGAACGTTTTCTTGTCACAATTATCAATGGAATTCGTGACTAAAGAGAATGATGAAACTACAATAGGATTTATACACTTGCAGTTACCTGTGCAAATTGTTCCTAGGTTTGTGCTATTTTTCTTACTATGCTTGTATCCTCGCTGTTCCACTGCAAGTGTATACATCCTATTGTAGTTTCATCATTCTCTTTAGTCACGAATTCCATTGATAATTGTGACAAGAAAACGTTCTGGAATACATGATTCGTCCCCATGGTTGTGATATGAGTGCGCATTTAGTTATATTCATTGCATTATTAAGATTATTGTCTCCACGTCGCCTTTTTACATATTTACTATTTATTCAATATTTCCCTCAGGATGTGAAATATGAAATGTCTCAGAAATTCAGTTTATTTAGGAACGCAATTTCGCGTACATGTAGTGATTTAGCCTACAGTTAGTTCACGAGTTATTTAGTAGGTTGTTTGTTTCTTGCGTTGCACAGTGCAAGACAAGAATTTGCACAACTGCACAAGAGTATTGACGTTGACTCTCAAAATGATTCTTGGTCGCATTTTGTTTGTTTCTTCTAAGTTTTGACAAAGGGACATGTATTTTCGTTTTGTCTTTTCTCGCAGTGTTTCCTTTCATTTCTAAGCCGCGACGCCGTCGCGTACTGCGGTACGACGGGTCACGTGCTGCCAACCTACTGCATTCTTTATTCACCAGTTTTCACGGCTACACTGCATGTATTGTATAATGACTCATGATTATTTTTTGCTCTGCGCTGAATCCCGTACTAGTGTAGTGTAGGTTTTTTTCAGAGTTGGTTGGCTTTTCGAGGAGGCCCGGCAAGTTCGGTTCTTCGAAAGGAAGAGAAAGAGTTGTCTTTTTGTTGTTTGCGAAATATCTATTTTACTACCACGAAGTGTTCCCGTTGCGTGTGAGAACCTGCATGACATATAGTGTTTGCTTAGTGAGGACGAAGCTCGCTGTGTTATCAGCGCTTGTAATTTGGCAATCTTCAAGACGATCATTTCTGGCGTCGAGGGATGATGGTCCTCGGCTTCTGGGATGCTGACGTGGCTAAGCAGTGCTACTCCAAGAACTCCACTAAGGTGATGTAATGTTGGCTTGATGGAGTTTTGTTGGTAGCTTGTTCTTGTACGCTGTGGCGTGGTTCGTTTGTTGTCTCATGAATCATGTGATTTTTCCACAATTGTGAGGGGTATCCCAATTTCAAAGTTCGCTTCAGAAACTTTTCCGCGGGCTTTGCATAGTCGATCTACACCCCAAAGGAAACTTTCCTGCAACATTTGAGCGAAATCTGAGAGATCGACTTGCACAAATGTTCTGGTTTTTTCAGACATGCTCTCTTAATTAAGTTAAAGAAGCAAGGTGTCAAAAGATGTTTGCTCAACACACAGAACTCATTCTTGCGATGGTACCCGAGGGGAGTGCCAGAACATCATTCTTTCTGATGGAAAGCAGACTAAAGTGAAGTTGAAACTTCAAAATTCGATACAGTTGAGCGCTTGTGTGGACGAGGAGCTATTACGGGTAGGGGTGGATTCAACCAAGAATAGAAGAGCACAGCAAGCATGATATAAGAGAGATGAAAAAATGAGGCAAGAAGGTCAGTAAGCCCTTGAAGCAATAGCACCCTGATGACCACAAGATATCGTGGAAATTCATATCGCTGCAAATCCTTTGTGAATATTACCTGCTAAAATAGCCCGAAAGGAGGCGTGAACTACCTTTATAAAATGAACACACTTCAAATAATATCAAATACATATACATGTATACTGTATTAACATTATCTAAAAGGGAGACCAGACCGAATAAAAACAATTAAAAACGAAGGCGTCGTGCAGGCTGTTAAAAACGTATTGATTTCATGTTTCGAACCTGGTCACACTCAAAACATTGTTTTATTGTTTAACTAAATACACAACTTACTGGCAGGCACATGAGGCTAGCATGGGGTGAGATGGTGCTGGTGGGGCTTGCCATGCTCAACCGACCAGAGGTCTCGGCATCTTCACATGGCAGGCGCACCAAATTCGGGAGGAAGCATCAGCATGAGGGGATAAAAGCACGGGGGAAAATGGAAGATTTAGAATGAAAGAGAGGATCTAATTTTGGAACACAGCAGAAAATAGCGAATAATCAAACAGATAATAGGAGTGAAAGGAGAGTGTCAAATGAAGGGTGCAATAGGGTAGCTCAGTGGAGATTGGCTACTCAGGATTGGCGACAATTAGGCTTTGGGTGGCCGAAGCAGGAGCATAATCCCGGAGGAGGCTACATACCATGTGTTTTAGAGCTAGACTAGTTCGGCTAGCTAAAACCGACAAGACCCAACGCTCAGAGTGACATACATGTATGTTGTTTTGTATGCATGTTGCATAATGTTAAGATCTACAAAATTATGAGAAAACATGCCGAATAGAAGGGTGAGAATGATTGTTGGGAAGTATGAATAGTTTTCAAAAAGAACTTTGAAGTATGAAAAATATTCATACTTTACAAGCATAGTTACAATACACATGCACATGTACAATGTACACCAAACGTCACTATGCTATCAGTGCACGTGAAGATCCATGTAGAGCTTCTGCTTCTGAGCAATGATGCATAGAGATTACTGTATAGTATCATACAGAGAAGGATCTTGTCGAACTCCAGACGTCGTTGTCCCATAGGCGTCATTCCCTGTTAGGGATAGGGCGTTACTGCCAGCTGTTCCCACCGTGTTCTGTAAAGCAGCAGTTTGAACTCTCATGTGGGCTGCTTTCGTATATTTTCTCTTCAGCTGAGCTATCAGAATTGAGATCGTGAGCCCAGAGACGACTACCACAAGACTGATGGAGATGGCGAAGGTCACAATGGAGACGAATCCACCTTTAATTAATTGATCATTTGTGTCAAAGTTGGTTGCGTTTGAGTGACGGGTTCGTGAATATACACGCAAAGCAAAGACAGGAGAAAATTACAGTGCGCACATTGACTTGAACAGGAGGCGTGGAGACAAGAATCCAAGTGTAATGGTAGAGAAAGTGTGCATGCAGTCACACCATGGCATGATTTTGATGTTCTTGTGTCATGGTATGCCTGTGTGTACACCTCTTTTTAGCGTTACACACATAGAATATCAATAGTGACGGGGAAAGCAGGTAGTGAACTAGGCACAAATGGAACAAGGTGTAATCCGATATTCGAAACCCTTCTACAAATCTGGGGGAATTGAGTTCACAACTTCTTCCGAAATACCCCACGGTCTGAAACGATGAACATACACGGCCCCTATTGCAACATCTGCTAATCACAGCCCAATACATCGAAATGTCACTATGCATTACTTTAATAAAAGATCAGGGCACCCCGTCTTGGGGACTGTCCTAGTAAATTTGAATAGAATTCTCTTCGCATCGGCCTATGTTTTCACTGAGTCTTGGGATGTTGCAATAAATTATTAGTTAAATAGTTCATGCATTTGTGAATAGGGACTTGTCGAAATTACTCACCGTCACATTGCGACCCAGCATATCCAGGAAGACAGGGACAATGGTATGAGCCGTTCAAATTCTGGCATTGTCTGTTGTCACTATTGACCATTTCGTTGCAGTTGTGTTTGCCATTTTGACATTCATCAATGTCTAGATGCCCATTAGATTAAAACCCGTTGCAATGTGTTCGGTACACATGTCCGCATGCCCCACCAAGCACAAATGTCAACATGAGCAGGCATAACACACAGAATCAGACGAACACACCGCTGAACCTTTACTAGTAAAATGTCATCGTATGGAGACCCTGGCCTTTTCTCAATGTGACACGGACAGATGTGCATACATGCAGACAGACAAACGGCAGGAAACACAGACAGACAAAGAGACACATACACTCAAATCATCAACACTGCTAGAACAAAGTAGTATCAAAAAGTATTCTTTTTCGACCAAAGAGTGGTATATTTGATTAATAAAGATAGAAATAATATACCACTCTTTTGAACTTAGATGTTGCGACTTCGGCGGTAATAGTCATGAAGTTGTCTTTGGTCTAAAAAGAATACTTTTTGATATTACAATGAGAGTGGATAATCAACGGCTTGTCCACCATCTCTTTGACTGCTCAATGTGTAGTGCAGGCATGCTTTCTGCCCATCTGGTTACTTTGAATCAAGGTGTTTAGGTCGGTGAGAAACTTTGGCCGATCTCGAAATGAAACTTCTGGCCGATATTCAACTTTGGCAGATTGGAGTTTGCAAAAAGACATCGATCGGAAGCTGGTGCTCTCAAATGTAGCAATGGCTCAATTATGCATCATTTGCCTCTATGACATACTTTGGACTGACATTTACTTTGGCCCGTTGGTACCAAACGGCAAAATCAGCGGAATTAAATCGCCAGCGAACATCAGTTGATTTAGAGTAATACTTTCTTGGAAGCAGCGATTAGGACACACTCCAGTATATTTTGCCTTCCTTCAAAGTGGCAATGTGAAACGTGAGAATTCCATTTACATTGTCTTCTTCACCTTCCTTTCAGAGTGTATCTCGCTCACGAGGATGCATTTTTCTGATCTTTGGTGTTGTCAATGCAATTCTACGTGTCATCCTTGTATAGCGCAGGATTATTTTACGAAATATGATATGCCAGATACAGTAAACCATAAAATGGCAACGACACCGCTAATGACAGCCAAGGCCGCCACCAAAATCAGAATAATCCATGTGAATATGCAGTGCCTAAAGGTGGAGGTGAGGGAGCAGCAGGGCTGGAACAACCAATAAAAAGAAAGGACGTGAAAGGATGCACGTTGTTGCTTGGAGTTGAAGAGTTGTTCGCCGCACTGGGCATTCATGTCGCCGCGAAGATCCTAGTTGTAGCATCATTGCGGTGGGCCACACGTTCCACTCCATTGTCACCGATGCGGACTGTTCTGAAAAGCTCTGCACCCCGCAAGGTCCCGCTGGACCTGTGACCTTGACCTAACCTGATCCTGTGACTCCTGCGGACGTCCGACGTCTCCTTGACAATTTGTATGCGCGTAAAGCCACAGGTTGTGACGGCAAACCGGGCTCTCTGCTACAGCATTGTGCTGACTTGTTGGCATATTCTCTTGCTGTGCTTTTCTGCAACTCGCTGAGGACTGGAACCATTCCATCTGGATTTATATTGGCGTCTGTTGTGCCACTGAACAAGGCCCCAACTCCTAACCAACTATAGACCTGTATCCTTTATCGCAATAGTACCAAGTTGCTGAAGAGAATAGTACAACACCAGCTTTTTCGTCATTTGGACTTGAGCAAGGCACTACCCAAAACACAATTTGCTCTCCGCAAGAAATGTTCTACGGAAAATGCTGATGTACAATCTACGAGAGACAGTGGCAAGATCACAAGGCTGTGCCAACTAGAAAATTCGAAGGCTTTAGTGATGAAGGGCGCCACTACAATTTGATCCGAGACCTTGCTGTTGTAATTTCTGGAATTGCCCTCAATGTGGTCGACGACTACTTGTCCGGCCGCTAGCAGCAGATCTTCCTCTCCCCTTCAATCAGCTCTGCTCTGGCTTGCACCAGCGGGATGCCCACCGGTCCTGTTCTATAGTCTGGCCTCTTCAGTATATAGACACGAGATGTCGGTTTCCTTGCATGTGCCAAGTGTACAATTTCCAGATGATATAGCCATGTACGACCCCCAGATCTCAGCGGCTGAAGCGTCCAGAACCCTCACCACAGCAGAAACTGCTCTGGCCGATTGGCCGAAGTCTCGAGGCCTCATCTTGAACGCCGACAAGACGAAGGTTCTGACTATCAATCCACACAATAATGTACCGGAGATAACAGTCAAAAGCGGCGAGTGTCTCCTCCCTTCAGCATCTTCTGCGCGCTACCTCGGCGTTCACCTTGCCAATTGCCTAAATTGGGACACCCATGTTAACTATGACTGTGGTCACCAAGGTTGCCAAGACAATTGGTGCCCTGTGGCGCCCTTGCCGATGCCTATCAAGACGCTCTCGTCAGGTGTCTGCGAAGGTGGTCATTATGACCGACCTGTTTTATGGCTATTATCAACCGCAATGCGAGAGGATCAGGTGGAAGGACTACAAACCGCACGAAACAGTGCCATTCGCTGTATCGAAGGCAAAACGCCTCGGACAGCCATGCAGTCGCTGATCACTACTCCCTGCTCACTTCCTGTACCCTGTCAGTCTGCTATAGCGGCAGAAATATTAATGACCATCTGGCGATGAGTTCACACCCGCACGAGCCCTGCGCTCGCCCAGCTTCTGACTCCGCACAAGGCACCCCTGCCTTCCCATCAGCAGTCAAATGGCCTACAAAGCCAGGCAAACCGTATCCCCGCCGGTTAGCTGAGATTTTCTGTTGCTAGTGCTCTGCTGTGGATCGCTCTATCTCTGGTGAGGTCGGCACAATTACCCTGCTACCTGAGTTGAAACATGCACGTGTACCACACGCCTGTAGGGGGCAGTTCGAGATACTGCTGATCGCTCTGCTCTCCTTCCCCGAGCAGTTCAGTAATACTCACATAGTATCACAGATACATCGTATTCTTCCGCCACCCCCCACCCCCCCCCCCACCCCCTCCCCCGTGTACTCGAGATTATGAGTTTCCTAATCTCTTGCTATGTGCTTCCAGTGACTTTACTAAGTTCTTCCATATCAACTTCAAGGCTAATCATTTTCAATCATTTTACTGGGTCGTCATTCCGTTTGAATGTGCGAAGCAAAATAAAAAAAAACAATCAACCAACCGCACCGGAAATGGAGCGGCGGTAATCTTAGGATGGTGAAATGCAACAACTGGCAGCATTCCCGGAGCACAAAGTTCAATCAAATGCAACTGAAGAGGCGTGAATTTCATCCACAAACTGAATATCAATAAGCGATTGGTTCCAGTTTGAATGGTTGCAGGGGACCAAAACAAAATCGCCTCGATCGTCCTGCCCTTCCTTTTCTTCACCGCACCATTTCTGTTTCAAAAAAAAAAACTCATTAAAGATAAAAAGAGAAGGATAAAATGGCACCAGTTATGAATAACTGTCCACTAACGTCACCAGATCTTTATAGCTCGTGCGACAAGAAGGGATGACGCTGTCAAACAGTACTGAGACATTCAACAACCTGACTCCTAACTCTAACACTTATCTTCTGGCAGACTCAAATCGATAACCTTTCAACTTGGAAGGCTGAGTTTACGAAAGGTCCAAGACTGGAAGGACAGCTCAACGAAGAAGAGTCCAGGCAAAGGCCCGAAGCAACGAAGAATTTTCTATCCCGTCAACTTAAGAAAAATTTCTACAAAGATTGCTGCAAGTTGCACGATGATGACAAAACTGAGTTAACAAGACAATTTGAAATACAGGGCTCACTACAACTCGACGACGCAAATGATGAATCGGTTAAATTGGCGGAAGAAATCTGAAGATCATGCAGCTTACCTATGCATGTAGAACCTGTAAATCCGTCCAGGCATCGGCAGTAATACGACCCCACAGTATTCACACATTTTCTGTTTCCAGGATTAGCCATTCCACGACAGGCATACGCGCCATTGGCACATTCGTTTATATCTGAATGAAAAGCATCGTAAAGTACCAGTATGTTGGATTTTTGAAATCTATTACTGACAGTGTAGAAGATAGTAAAGAACTGGGTAACTAAATCTTTAAGGTTGCGCATGACATCTATTCAAAAATGGGATTCGTCATGACGATATATTTCAATTAAATTAATTAAACAGATAATAGGAGTGAAAGTAGAGTGTCAAATGAAGGGTGCAATAGGGTAGCGCAGTGGAGATTTGCTACTCAGGATTGGGGTCAATTAGACTTTGGGTGGGAGAAGCAGGAGCATAATCCCGGAGGAGGCTACATACCATGTATTTTAGAGCTACACTAGTTCGGCTAGCTAAAAGTATTGGGCTTCACCGACAAAACCCTACGCTCAGAGTGACATACATGTATGTTTGAGATCTACAAAATGATGAGAAAACATGCCGAATAGAAGGGTGAGAATGATTGTTGGGAAGTATGAATAGTTTTCAAAACGAACTTTGAAGGATGAAGAATATTCATACTAGATGTTAGGATCAGTGTCTGTATCAGGCTGGTCAGCCCCTTGATTGGAGACTGTGTCCTGTGGGTTCATGTAATCGCCCTGACTATCCTTCAACACTTTGAATACCCGATATGGCAGAGGCTTTGGAACCTGAGATGGAGACACACATCTTTGGGTGTCTGATTCGACCGGCATCGATGTGGCTGCAAGGGATAGGCGAGATGACTGCGGGTTGGTGCTGGTAATGGTGGTGGTGGTGGTTGTGGTATCGCGGCATACTACTGGTGTTGCGTCACTCAGACCACAGCGTTGTTCGCGCTCCACATCATCTTGATCGATAGACTTCTCCAGGTTTTGTACGTCGGATTGTGCGGACTTCGATAAGACGCTAAGTGATGTTACATCCGTAGCACGACATATAGGGTCGATGTAAATTGAAGTGCGGGGTGCTTCGTTAGGCTTAGAAGCCGTGCACTGCTCTGCCTTTTCGTAAAGTCTGCAAACATCTGTCGTATTCCCCTTGTGAGGAACTGAGTAGCAGACAGTCAGAGCTGACCTTTCTTCACATCCGGCTGCCTGTGTTTCGTTGTTTGCCGGATTTGACTGGACGTCCTGCGCTGGTTGATCAAACATTGACTGGACACTAGCGTATGGCTCACCAGCATCTTTCTGCCTCGTTTCCGTATTCACATAACTCATCGGAGCAGCACCATCACAGGTAGCGTACATGAACGACTCATTATCTGTAACACGGTCATTACGAGCACCAGGAGGTGTCTGGGGACGGTTGGTTGGATTGCCGTAACCAGGTCCAACAGACGAATACAGCCCGGGATCCCTCAGTTCGGCCGCAGGACTCTGGTAAACGCGGTCAGTACCATCGTGATTCTGGTAAAACTGATTTCTCGGCTCTGGCAGATTTTTGGGGCCGGTTGTTCTACGAACAGCAATAATCCACGGATGACTGCTCTTAGAGAGAAAGATTCCTGACCTTACTAATAACAGCAGAATAAAAACGCCTAGCAGAACAGCCAGTAAAACCAAGGGAATAACAATGCTGGTAACTAAACTCAATCCACTTGAGTCACTGTCAATCTTTGCAATCTTGCTTGTTGACTCCACTAAGGGAGCGGTCGTAAATGAAGTTTGTATTGTTGAGGCACGGCTAGAAGGTACATTTGTCGTTATTGCAGTATTGGTGACCGAGCTGGGTGAAACAAACGTTGGAACAACTGCAGAGAACAAACACCCAGCATTATGAAGAGACGGAGTGTTTAAACAAATTGTATGAGGCGACTGCAAAATAATTGACTTCAAAAGCTTTGTTTCCACACAAATTTCTTTTAAAAAGCAGTCATCGCAAAGGTACTTTTCTAGACAGCGTTGCTTGCACCTGGTGTGCTGAATACGTCAATGAGAATGATAACCAGACTCTTTCTCATGTTTCCATGGCCATATAGAGGCAGTTGGTGTCCATCGTGGAAACAGGCAACATATTCTTTCCACGATATTCTTGAGCAGGTCTGAGGTGAAAAGCAGTGATGCAACAACAGATGTTTTCTGGAATAAATATGTCATGGAATATTGCTTTGGCGAACAAACGAATATACGGTATTCTTGTGAAGTGGCTCAGTCACTTCAATCAGTCAAACCCAACAGTCATGTCCTCCACAGAAAACCTGGATAGTAAATATTCACTGGTGAAAGAGAAAATCTGGCCAAAGAACAAGCTTCACAGCTCTAAGAACATATTTCGTCTCTCTTATCGTAAGCACTACAGAGGATTCATGGTGGGAGCTGCATAATACAGCGACGCAACACAAATGTTCGAGTGACAGAGTACTCCAATGCTACTGGCTGCATTCGAATTTTCTTTTTGGTGTAGGTATCCTAGAATATTCCGAATATGCGAATATACCTTTGCATCACTGGTAAAAAGGAGTTGGGAAACACCATATTTCAAAGCCTTACCGTGTCCAAAGATGACCAGTCCTTTTACTCTATTGTGGTCGACTGGGTACAATTGACAATGAGATATCCCTGGGGAAATCGTGATCAGTAACTTGCTGGTGTTAGATCTCTTCATGAAACTGTGAAGCGATTGAGAAGCAGATTTCGTCAGGCTAACGTTTCTAGAATGCCAGTGAGTTGTCAGTGGATCTGGAAATTGAATTATTTCAAGAACTCTGTTATCACTTCCGTAACTCACTGATACAGAGCATGTTCCGTAGTACCGAAGAGAAATCGCTTCGAAGGATATATCGCATGGTGATTTGAAAATGAACAGTTTCTTGTAAAGGATTCCATCATCAACCCTGAGTCTTAGAGACTCAGGGTCAGTCGCTGGCTGGACGTATACAGTATTGCCATAGACATGTATTTTTCCATCTTCTGGTTGGCAGTTTTGTAATATTGCACCAAGCGATCCAGACAAACACAGATCTGCAACCAACATACAATAATGCAAAGGAGCGAGTCAGAAGCACAAGCGTTAGAGACGAATCTAGCGCTGTCATATACTATGGACCAAAATTCACAAGACATATTCAGAATATTAGTTGATTCAGAAGAGTCGAAGTTTTTTTCGTGTCCTTATTTTGCCATCTGACTATTTCAGTTCCACTGGTGATCATCTTGCTCAACTCCGAGATCCCAGAAATCTTTGGAGGGCGATTTTGTCTTTCCCTTGCATTTGTGAGGCACGCTAAGCACTGCTTCCATAATGTGCATCCATACGTTCATACGTATCATCTTTTCTGGCGGCCAAAAAAGAAGACTAGAATTACTTCCAGAAGTACATACATGACTTACTGATAGTGATAAGCAGGGCGCTGGTGCCGTGAAGGACCCTGGCGATCATGGTTCTCTCTAAGCGCTCTTTGGTATCGATCTCAATCCAATCTACATATAGGGTAAAGCCTGCGACACTCACCCTGAACTCTTTATTGTAATATTATTGCTACCGTCCAACAAAGTAAAATGAACATATCAAGCCTTCTTCATGCAGAGCAATGCTAGAACGGCAGGGGACAGGTATATTTCTACAAATGTGTCTAAATCTAATCCCTAGTCCAAGAACTGAAGCAACACCATTGGCTTGAAGAGACCAACGTAGCAGAAAGCACCATCTGTGTGTTTAAAATCCGCAGGGCTGGTATCTTTCGGCTCACCACTCGCATTGTATTGCGACACGCTTCCCTGTGATTGTTGGCTAAAATTCACAAGTGTACTAGCGGCTAGGAGTACTAGTATCTCATGCGGGTCTAGCAGGAGTTCTCCTAGAGTCATTTACGGAGGAAGCGTTGATTTGCGCATGTTTTGGAAGCCCTTGCCACGTAAGGCACACTTCTGCCTCGCGATTTGATGTTTCAAGAAGTAGAGGATTAATAACTAGGTGTTACTCTGAGTATTACACATTTGACGATCATCAGACAACGGTAATCATGGTAATGAGATAAATCTTTTTTGCGGTTTAAAGATATATGACTCAGTGAGCCGTCAGGTCTTGTTGACGGATCACGATCCCTGTGACCAATGGAACAGTCCGAAATCCCTGAAGGGCAATCATAACGTGCCACACCAGTTTGAATCCCAATGACCAGTCACAAACAACCGCGACTTTTTCTGTGAACGGTCACAGCATCCACGTCAAAATGCTATTAGCACCATATCCCTCACACACTCATACTCAGCCCAAGGCAACAAGGAATTGTTTTGGAGATAGTGTGCTGCTTCGAGTAACTGGTCTTGTAATGCAGGAGCTCGAAGAGCTGGAAAGCAATGCCAGGCCACTGGCAGCAACTGGCTCGTGAGGAGCCGCAATAAACCCACATTGTGCTACAATGGGGTAGCAAGGCAAAGCCAATGCAATTGGCAACAAGTGGCTCTCTCTTTCTCTCCTTCTCTTTCTCTCTTTCTCTCTCTCTGTCTCTCTCTCTCTCTCTCTCTCTGTCTCTCTCTCTCTCTCTCTCTCTCTCTCTCTCTCTCTCTCTCTCTCTCTCTCTCTCTCTCTCTCTCTCTCTCTGTCTCTCTGACTCTCTCTCTGACTCTCTCTCTGTCTCTCTCTCTTTCCCTCTCTTCGTCGCTGTCTGTCACAGCCCAAAACGGGTGCATGTGCTAATGTCCTGCTGAAGTGCATTACTAGCATGATTCTCTTGTAGCAAGCTGCTGCGCGCGCGTGTGTGTGTGTGTGCGTGTGTGTGTGCATGCTTATATGTGTGTGTGCATGCGTGTGTGTCCGTGTTTGTACCAATGCTCTGTTCGCCGTGATAATGTTCATGTCCGCAGCCAGTGTTTGCTGGCAACAAAGGCTTCCTTTATGTACACATGCATGCTCATACAAGTTGGGATGCTTTACTGCTTTCGTGTCACGGAAAACAGTAAAGCATCCCAAATAGTATGAGAATACACTTGTAGGAAAAGGAAGCAATTTCATGTCTTTCTTCTGGTCAATTTGTCATCTCGATGGTGTTATAATTACGAGTACCGAGTATACATGTACATGTACTCATAAGTTGAGGGAATGGAAAGGGGAAAGTCTAAAGAAAAAATTGACTGTCACCACCAAAATTACACATGTACATGTAGAATATTACCCTAAGAAAGTATGCTCATTGCGAAGTTGTCCTTCTTTTGACTCGAACTATTGCTCGTGTAGATGTATATATCAGTGGGTTCAATTGGTGGCGAGAGATAGAGGTCAGCGTAAATTTTTTGGGGTGGAATTGGGCACGAAATCTACGCTGAGTACTTTTTGACGACGAATTGTGTTGTGTTGGTCTTGAGACCTCTGGCAAGAAAGCAAGAAAGCGAAGAAAAGAATTATCGCTTGGAGCTTTTCTCGAAACTGTGGGCAGTCAATGCTTCCACACACCGAAACATTGCCTCTGATCAAGACTCTATCGCCAGGGAAGCCGTTGTTGGCGAGAAATATAGCAGTTTTTGCCCAAACCGTATTGAGCTAGCTAAGTAGTTTCAAATTTCCCAGGCGTGTGTTTGTAGTACATGTGGTCTTGTTCTCTTCTCTACAACATGTACCTGGTTCAGGCATGACTGTGTATGTGTGACCGTGGTATGAGGGGGGGGGGGCATTCTGCTACATAGTAAAGTTCCCGGGTGTGCAAACACTGCATAGTAAAGTTCCCCGGGGGTCCAATCACTATACTCCGGTGCATAGTACTTTTCCCCCGGGGGCCAAGCGCTAAGGGGGGGGGGGGGGGAGTAGTGCTATGTGACACCGGCAATGGATCATGTGTGAGCGACCAGAGGCGTACATCACATGTCCTGTACCACTATAACCACACACAAACGTCCAGGAGAATTTCACGTACCGGTGGATCTATCATGCTGCCGGGATCCCTCATATATCTCATACTGTGGTACGTAACCTTCGGAGAATTGCAAAGACCTAAACACGGCAAGCAAATCGGGGACATTAGGTGCAAGACCCGTTGTTCTAGTTGTTTAGACTGCACTGTGTTCTTGAAAATACTGAGCCTCCACATGGTACCTGTTAAAGACATGTGGCATCCGTTGATCTCGTTTAAGTAGCAGTAGTAGGCATGCACTGCATTACGTTTCGATGACAGTTTCGAAAGCTGATGAATGGGTTTATCATTTGGCTTCCTGTGTGGGTATTGTTTCTGTGGATTGGTTCGGAGCAATGTTCAGATGGTCCAGGCACCTGGCCAATTAATAATGGCAGTCCAAGCTAGTTGAATATCTGGATCACTTTTTCTCTCCTGGTCTACACTCCATCCGCTTGCATCCATAACAATGCAAACGCGTTGTCCCTTGCACACTGTGACAGGCACATGACTTCTGCATGCTGGGAGAGCATACAGTGGCAGGACGAGTATTCCCCTGAAGTTGCAACATGATCTGAGCATAATCGTAGGACATCAAGTCTTGACACTACTTGTGACATGATCAATTCTGGTTTGCTCTAATGCAGACTAGCAATAAGAGGAATTTGTCAGATACTACTAACCATGAGGTGCTGAGACGATATGCTATAAATGCCAAATAATCTGTCATCTGCTTGCACCAACTTGGCTGTCCTCCTGACAAGTGAAAACTGCCGGCGTCTTCAGGGCCATAAACACCTTCATTGATCAATTCTGCTATGCTCTAATGCAGACTAGCAATAAGAGGCACTTGTCAGATACTAGTAACCATGAGGTGCTGAGACGATATGCTATAAATGCCAAATAATCTGTCATCTGCCTGCTCCAACTTGGCTGTCCTCCTGACAAGTTAAAACTCCTGGCGTCTTCAGGGCCATAAACACCATCATTGGCATTAATCCAACGCCTCCCTTGCTCCTCATCTCTGCAGCATGTAACAAGAGGTCTGGCACATCGAAAAACTAAAATACTTGGAGCTCTTAGTTAAAGCTACATTTTCAGAGTCAGGAAGTTTCAAATGGCAGGAAACTCAGCTTCTCTTCACCATCGGCATCACGAGCAATGACCATTATCAGCCAGCAATGTTACTAGAGCAAAGACGCTGGATTGAACAGAAAGCTTTTCATGCAGCAACGTTTCTTTCTCAGCAAGAACAAATACTACAGTACTCGTGGTCAAATCTCAGCAACGTTTCTTTCTCTACAAAAACAAATAATAATAATAAAGGAAAGATTAATAGCATAAGTGAAGCGGACATTACAAAATGATGAATGAGAATACATGTATCTAAGATGGTTGCTCCTAATCGATTTTCTTGAGACTATCATCAGGGAAAATCGTCTCACAATAGAGGCTATACGGAGAAACAAACTACTTATAGGTTATCGGATAGTGGAAAGTATACAAGGTGAGGTGTGAAAAAAACTAAAGTGGGAGAGAAGACGAAAGAAATTAGAAGAAAAGATGTGAGAGTGTTCTGACGGTGTGAGCTACTACAAAAGGTGAGTGAAATGAAGGCGTGGAAGCAGGTGAATGTGATAGAGTGAAGAACTGTGAGGTGTAGGTGTATGCGAATGAATACGTGTGTGAATGCTAGGTGAAGAGTCTCAGTTTTGTGACATTTTCTTTCTGAATGCATAGATTTGGATTGTGTTTACGGATGAAAACAGCTTCTACTTGAAGTAATACCTTAAGTTCACGAAATCTACGAGCACGACACAAAACAGTGAAGCATGAATCATCATATCGTCAGGTTTTGACATGTTCCTTTCTTCTCAGTATTCTCGCTCGCATAGTACTCCACTTCTACGATAATATTGCCTATGCTGTTGCTCATTAGGATTTTGGAAAATTCTATCCTTCGCTTTCATATAACTGGGCCAGGAACCCGTTTGAACTTGCGAAGTAAAATAAAATCAATCAATCAAAATCATACACTGAGCGGCATTGGCTACTAGACAAGAGGTGTTTCTTAATTGCTGACCCTTTCGTAGTGGTCTCACCTTCAGTCGATTAGGAACAACCATCTTAGATACATGTATTCTCATTCATCATTTTGTAATGTCCGCTTTACTTATACTATTAATCGCATTAATAAAGTTACTGTCTCCTCGTCGCCTTTTCATTTAATAAAGGAACGGAACAAAAAAGGAGCAACACCAGGGATTTGTCCGTACCTGGTTCCAGATTCCAGTACAAAGGCCACTGTCAAGTGTCCCACTGAGATGCGGTCGCTTGTCCAGACCGCTGGGACGCGGACACCTGCGAAGAGCAGCCAGTGACGTTTATTTTTTATGAAAGAAAATCCGCAAAAATAGATAAGCTTGTCCCTTTAGTCTTACCCAACTCACACTCCCTGTGAATCGACACAGACGGATGGGACGCAGCCATCACTGTACCCACACACTTCACGTACAGACTAGCACGCGAGGAGCAGGTTTGGGACAAAGACACAACCGGGAAATATCTGAAGAAAAAATGACTGTCTCCATCAGGACTCGAACCAGGGACACTCGCTTGTAGCCAGCGATACTCTAACCATGGAGCTATTGTGTAGTCGTCATCCCAGCAGAGACTGCTTAACATTTTCTCCTGACTTTATTACTCACAATCC